AAACTTGTACAACCACTCTGGAAATCAATCTGGCGCTTTCTCAGACAACTAGGAATAGCGTTTCCTCAAGATCCAGCCATACCACTCCTAGGCATATATCCAAAAGAGGCTCAAGTACACAATAAGGACATTTGCTCAACCATGTTTGTAGCAGCTTTATTTGTAATAGCCAGGAGCTGGAAACAGCCCAGATGCCCCTCAACTGAAGAATGGATGCAGAAATTGTGGTACACCTACACAATGGAGTATTACTCAGCAATGAAAAATAAGGAAATCATGAAATTTGCAGGTAAATTGTGGGAGCTGGAAAGGATCATCCTGAGTGAGCTGTCCTAGAAGCAGAAAAACACACACGGTATATACTCACTCATGTAGACATATAACATAGGATAAACCTACTAAAATCTGTACATCTAAAGAAACTAATCAAGAGAGAGGACCCTGACTAAAATGTTCAATCCCCATCCCGAAAGGCAAAGAGGATGGACATCAGAAGAAGAAAATGGGAAACAACTTTGATTTCTTTTTTTTTTTTTTAAGATTTACGTATTTGTTATATATGAGTGGTCTGTTTGCATGTTCACCTGCAGGCTAGAAGATGGCACCAGACCTCATTATAGATGGTCATGAGTCACCATGTGGCTGCTAGGAGTCGAACTCAGGCCTTTGGAAGAGCAGTCGGTGTTCTTAACCTCTGAGCCATCTCTCCAGCCCCCAAAGTTTGATTTCTTAGCTGGGTGCAGTGGGCACACCTGTAATTCCAGCACTTAGGGAGGCAGAGGCAGGTGGATCTCTGTGAGTTTGAGGCTAGCCTGGTCTACAAAGTGAGTCCAGGACAGCCAAGTCTCACAGAGAAACCCTGTCTCAAAAAAACAAACAAAAAAAGTTAATTTCTTTATTACTATAGTACTGTTTACCCACATTCTTTGTTTGACACAGACCTCTAGTATGTTGGTAAATATATGGCTATAGGTCCTTGTCATTTAAGATAATCCTGCTAGCTCAGAATGATTTTAAGTTGCAGTCTTACTGTCTCAGCCTCCTGAGTGCCACCGTGCCTGGCCTTCTTTGAAAAGGCTGAACAGTATTGTATTACATTGTCCACATTCCCACATTTTCTTGTTCTTCTTTCAAATTTTATTCATTTTTAAGTATGTATGTGTGTGAGTTGCAGTGTCCTCAGAGGCTAGGAGAGGTTGTCAAATCCCCTGGAACTGGAATTAAAGACAGTTTTGAGCTACCATGTGGGTGCTGGAAATTGAACCCAGGTCCTTTGCAAGAACAGCCAGTGCTTTTAGCTGAGCCATGTCTCCAACACCAGACCAACATTTTCTTATAGATGGGCATTTGAACTGATTCTACCACTTGGCTATTTCACATGACATTGTAATGAAGATGGATGTATACATAGATCTTTGAGATAGCCTGCATTCCATTCTTTGGGATGTATGTTCAACAGTGAGATTGATTGCTGGATCAAATGTTAATGCTATTTTTTAAGGTACCCCTATACTTGTCTCAAGAGTGTGCAAGATGGGGTAGGAGAAACCATAATCAGAAAATACTGTATTTTAAAAATATCTATTTTCAATAAAATAAAATAAATAGTGCGTAAGAATCCCATTTCCTGGGGCTGGAGAGATGGCTCAGAGGTTAAGAGCACTGACTGCTCTTTTAGAGGTCCTGAGTTCAATTCCCAGCAACCACATGGTGGCTCACAACCATCTGCAATGGAACCTGCTTTCCTCTTCTGTTGTGCATGAAAACAGTGTTAACATACATAAAATAAATAAATATATATATTAAAAAAAAAAAAGAATCCTATTTCCTTCAAATCCTCACTGACCTAGTTATTTTCTGTTCTCTTGATGGTGGCATTGTAAGGTGTGTTAGGCAGTATCACTGTAGTTTCCTTTGTGTTTCTCTAAATGACGTCGAATACTTTTTCATGTTTGTCGGGCATGTGTCTTTTTAGTTGGATCTTTGGAGTTTTTTTTAGTTATAGTTTTTGACTTGATAGTCATTTTAATGAATATTAACCTCATCTCAAATTTATGACTTCCCTGTATCTTCTCCCATGCTATAGGTTGCTTTTTCATTCTTCTTTTTTCGTAAGTTTTTTTTTTTTTTTTTTTTTGAGATAGAGTTTCTCTCTGTGTGTGTAGCCTTGGACTTTCTTGTAAGACCAGGTTCACCTCAAACTCATAGAGATCCACCTGCCTCTGCTTCCCTGAATGCTGAGATTATAGACGTGTGCCAGGTTTTGCTTTTTCATTCTTAATTGTTTCCTTTGGTGTTTAAATTTTTTTATTATTGTTTTTTAGAAATTCTCAAAGTTCTCGTTGTTTTAGAAACAAGACCCAGGGTAGCCTTGAACTCTTGCCTAGTACTGGGATTACAGGCACTTACCACAATGCCTGGCTTGATTAATTTTTAATATTTAAATCAAATTTTGTAATAAATCCATCCTAATCATAATGTATTTGACCTTTTGAAATAATCACTGGACTTAGTTTGCTAATATTCTTTAAGATTTTTCTTTTTGTGTTCCTATATAAAATTCTCAGTGATTCTTCTTTTGTTGTAAGTTCTTTGACAGATTTGAACATCAAGATTACACTTACCTCAAACTTGGAAATTATTCAGTCTTTTTAGTCAGTGGATTGTTTAAGACTGACATCTATTCTTTGCCTTCTCCTCTTTCCATACCTTCCTGAATAGTTAAACCCCAAAATCATTAGGTAAGGGCAAACAAGAGAGACATTTTCACAGTAAGGAGGCCACAGTGGCCTCCAATTTCTGGAGCCCGTTAAGTTGAGATGGATGTCAGTGCAGGTAGTATCAGAGTGCTAGCTTAGCGATACAGACATGGCCCAGACAGGATAAGGAGGCCATTCAGCAGGTAGAAGAGAAGGATTGGGGGCAGTGGTGATGTCTTGAAATAGTGAAACCTGAGCCAGCACAGGCATATAATCCCAGGAAAAGGTAGGTGGATCTCTGTGAGTTCAAGGCCAGCTTGGTTTACAGAGAAACCCTGCTTTGGAAAAAAAAAAAGAGAAGAAAGGGAGGGAGGGAAGGAGGGAGGGAGGGAAAAAGAGAGAGAAAGGAAAGGAAAGAAAGAAAGAAAGAAAGAAAGAAAGAAAGAAAGAAAGAAAGAA